TGTGTGGTCTGCCGTGCTCCTGTGTGGTTTGCCGTGCTCCTGTGGTCTGCCGTGCTCCTTTGTGGTTTGCCGTGCTCCTGTGGGGTCTGCCGTGCTCCTGTGGGGTCTGCCGTGCTCCTGTGAGGTCTGCGGTGCTCTTGTGTGGTCTGCAGTGCTAGTGCTACTGTGGTCTGCCGTGCTCATTTGGGATCTGCCGTGCTCGTGTGGTGTCTGCCGTGCTCCTGCGGGATCTGCTGTGCTCCTTGTGTCGTCTCTTTGGTCTGCCGTGCTCCTTTGTGGTCTGCCGTGCTCTTGTGGGGTCTGCTGTGCTCCTGTGTGGTCTGCCGTGCTCCTTTTTTTCCGCCTGCCGTCCTCCTGCTCATTTTCTGAGGACGTCCCGAGCGAAAACGTCATTTTTAACATAAGAGGTTGTAAAACACCTCTGTCGGCATCTCATTTTTTCAAGAATGTCTCGAGCGAAACGCTCATTTTTCATGTATAACAAAAATTTTTGATATTTTTCAACATCCCGATTTTTTGAGGATGTCTCGAGCGAAACCGTCATTTTTAACATAAGACGTCTTAAACGATAGCCTCCAACACCTCGATTTTTCGAGGATGTCTCGCGCGAAATGGCCATTTTGGGGAACCTGACCGGACAAGAACGGGAAGCGTCCTGTTGTCCCCTGGGCTTATGAGATATTCCACGTTTTTAGTACGGCATACCACAGCAGTGCCACGTACCACTGCCGTGCTTCTTTGGGGTCTGCCGTGCTCCTGTGGAGTTTGCCGTGCGAACGTGTGGTCTGCCGTGCTCCTGTGTGGTCTGGCGTGCTCCTGTATCCCTGTCATCTTACGGTCTCAATTTAATTGAGACGTCGGAAGACGCATCAAAAAAAAATCAATCCAACCCAGCGGATTGATTCCGAAACCAAAAATTGAGACATATCAAAAATGGCATATCAAATATGAGACCTCAGCTAAATGAGGAACGTGATATGATGTTGATGAATATGAGCATGATGATGATGATGACGATGAGAAGGAGGAGGAAGAGGAAAAGGAGGAGGAGGAGGAATACGATGATTATGGTGATGATGATGATGATGATGATGATGATGATGATGATGATGATGATGATGATGATGCTGATGCTGATGATGATGATGATGATGCTGATGCTGATGATGATGATGATGATGATGATGATGATGGTGGTAGAGGAAGAGGAGGAGGAGGAGGAGGAGGGGGAGGAGGAGGAGGAGGAGGAGGACAGCGGTGTGCACGCTCCCGAATCCAGTTTTTCATCCTGAGTGTTTTGTCTCGGTCCCAAGGGCTCACTTGCTGGCCCCTGGAAGCCGTGCAGCCGTTGAAATAAAACGAAAAATCGAAAACGAGAAATCCTCATCATCCTTCCTCCAGGTGCCTACCTCCAAGGTCTGAAGGCAAGTTTTGCGTCCTGATTTTTTTTTCGGCTCCAGGGCCTCAGCGGTTCTTGGGGGCCGCAGTCGCACGAAAAATCGATAAGCGGAAAAACCTCCCTCAACATCCTTCCTCTGGAGGTAGGATCTGCAGGGCAGTTAACCTAGGGTCATTTTTCTGTCCAGCGTCGTTTTTTTGGGGGGTGGGTTCCAGGCGGCCCCTGGAGGCCGTCATCGTTGAAAGTATAAGTAAACCGGAAAAAATCCTCATCCTTCTCCTCCGCCCTCCCCTCTCGTTCCGTGCGCGTCCAGCTTTTCATCCTGAATGATTTTTCTCGATCCCAGGGACTCGACGCTGGCCCCTGGAAGCCGCGCAGCCGTAGAAAAAAAAAATCGAAAACGAGAAATCCTCTTCATCATCCTTCCTCCAGAATTGCCTCCCCCGAGGCTTTCCCATATAGCAAGTTTTGCGTCTTGAGTGTTTTTTCGGTCCCATGGCTTCAGCGGTTTGCGGGGGCCGCAGTCGTTGAACAAAAAGAAATCGATAAGCGGAAACGCCTTCCTCAGCATCCTTCCTCCGAAGGTAGGGTCTGGGCAGTTTCCCTAGGGCTATTTTTCTGTCCAGCGTCGCTTTTTGTTTTGGGTGGGCTCCAGGAGGGGCCCTTGGAGGCCGCCATCGTTGAAAGTATAAGTAAACCGGAAAAAAAAAAAAAAAATCCTTCTCCTCATCCCTCCGCTCTCGCTCCGTGCACGCTGGCTCAATCCTGCCTGCCCCCCCGTGCGAGAGGCGGCGGGGCGGCGCTCTCTTTGATCACAACAACTCAGCAATGGCCTTCTCCAAGAAACGGAAGTAGAAAGTATCACCGTGATGCAGGGATTTCCCTATGGAAGCCATCGTACGGTTGACCCCCTCGTCGATATATGTCCAATACCGACGAGGGTTGCCCATGTATGCTGAGCGCATTGCTAAATGCAAGAAGACGTGATGCTTGCACACAGTGCGCGCGCCAGTCCTCTGCCAGTAGTGGGCAAACGCGAACGCTGCATCCACGAGGTCGGCTTTAGCCAGGTCTGGCAGCACACGAGGGTGAGACTCGATTATGTCGTGAAACTTTGCCATTTGCCGACAGCAGTGCGGTAGGAACATAACTGTGCTACCTCTGAAGTGCCCCGCGTTTTCGCGGCATAAATCAGGGAGCAGCCTTATCAATTGCCGCGTCTCCGCGGCTTTGGCGTGCAACCGTGGGTTGTGTGGCGGGCCAAGTTGTGCAAGAGAGAGCCTAAATATTTGACTCATTTGTCCACGATCAAAGTACTCTGCGCTGGCTATGTAATACGCCTTTAGGCGTTGTCTCAGCATGCGCATGTTGGCCTTGCGCCGCACTGGGGCCGTGGTTTCTCGACTATTGGCGAAGTTGCCCTCGATGAGGGTGGAAAAAACTGTTCCTACTAAGTACTGGGATATTCCTAGATCCACAACGTGCATCAAGTCTAGCCCGACCATGGCATATGTAAAACCAGTTACACTAAATATCGGGGCTATAAAATTAAGACCGACGTGGTTCGTTGCATCAAAAAATCTCAGGTGTGCAGGTTCTTGAGGTGAGCAATCTATTTCTGACACCTTATAAGTATCTGTAACTGAACCCCACTGTTCCAACCTCCATCCTTTGGCCAAGCCTAGCTCTGGGAACGGTTCCACCAATCCCAGGCCGCCGAGAGTTTCGTTGTGCCGCATGCAAGATACCAAGCGCAATAGCTGGCTCTTGTCAGTCACTATAAATTCTTTTATAGATGTGTTAACCATGTGCTGATATGCGGCCACGTCTTTTTCGACCCACGTGAGAGCTAGTTCTTCTGGTGACCTAGGGTATTGGTGCAACTCGGCCTTGGTGCACTTACACAAGAAGCACGGGGAGTCCACGTTGTCCCACCTCTTCACTCCGAGGGCGGTCTGAAATTCCAAGAGGTCCGCCCGATACTCAACCAAGGCCCCGCAGAGGCCGTCTGCCAGCTCGAAACCTCGACGCGCCGCACGTGATTCACATGTGAAGGGCTTGCCATCGTACGATAGCGCAGGGTACTTCCCCTCGGCCAAGCAATTGAGACTCCAAGTAATTACACGCATCACGCCTCCAATAGTGCAGCCGCCTTTGCAGCCGCACTGGCAAGTATCTGACTTTCTCAGAGTACATATTAAATGCCTGGATTCTGACACCGCGTTGCTCCAATAATAACACAGAAATGTGTCCTTTTTGCTTTGAGGTACACCGTCAGAGTAAAAGCCAATCGGGAAGCTTTTGGCTCCCTTATTTCTCGTTACAACATGGCCGTGATACAGTGGTGGCACGTCCTCGGGAGCCAATTGGCCCAAGTCGAACTCTGAAGGCGAAGCTGCATATCTCTCAGCAAAGGCCTCGTGAGGGAGATGAAATGGGAACTGTATTTCTTTACGCGACTCTGTTTCTTTATTCCATACAACTATTGGCGCGGTAAAGAACGCATCTTGGCCCTTGAGGCGGAGCGCCTGGCGGATATGGTCAGTGTGATGGGTGTCGTCTGGGTGCAACGCTAAATCACCAACACCTGTCCCACCAGCTCTCATTGTATGCCATGCGACTGTGCACAAGTCCTGCGGCTGAACGCCCCCGACATCGAAAGGAAACTTGACCCCTCAAACAACTCCCTCCTCATCCCTCCCCTACTCCCCCTCCTCCTCGTCCTCCTCCTCATCCTCCTTCTCCTCCTCCTCCTCCTCCTTCTCCTCCTCATCCCCCTCGTTTCTTGAGATCCTCATCCTGTTGGGGGTATTTTTGGGTATGGTTTCACAGAGGCGTTCGACCATTCCTTGGACGTGAGCTTCCCTAGCTTCCATCTCTCGAGCAGGTACTTCCGCAACCCAGCTCCGCCGTCGGTCGGCGGTTCCTCCTTCGGTTGGCTCGGTCAAAGAGCGCCTCTCCCACGCGTGCCCACCAAAGGCGTTCCCCCTTCCCTTCCTCCCAGGCGCCCTCTCCGCATTTCCTCCCGCTCCTATGCCCCTCAACCCTTGGTGGGACACGCGAGGGGGCGGCCAGCCTTTTGATCGAGCCACTGGTCAACCTCCATCGGCAGCGGCCCTCCAGCCGACGCGCTATCCCCGCGCAACAGCATTGACGTTGCTGCGGCCCGCGCCGCCATTCTGAAGGATACATGTTAACACACTTGATGTCACAATATGTTGAACCAGAACGGCTGGAGGGCTACGGCCGATGGAGTTTGACAAGTGCGCGTAAGAGACACGATATCAAGTAGCGGCTGCTAGTGTCGTGTTCTTGTTCCGTCCATCTTCTCATCTAATACGCGAGGTTCGTGGGACAAAGGATGATACCCTGAGCAGCGTGTTTCTTGACAGTTGCCGATCATACTCTTCCCTACTTATCCTCCCTCCTCCTTCCCCTGCTGCTTCTGCTTCTCTGTGGCCCATGACTCTGGCACGGGCGGTACCTCGCGACATCTATTTCTCAGGCGTGCACTCTCGAGGCTCCCTGCCTCAACGGGCATACTAGGCACGCGCGTGCCGAGCCGAAAATTGTCCAACAACACCAATATACACATGTATATCTGCATCAAGATCCTGGGTTCGACTCCAAGCCCGCGCGGCATCGAAACTCTGGGGGTCCAGGGAATACATCGTATCATCGTGCAGCACTGCGTGTGGAAACGTGGGCCCCATGCAGCTCAAGGGACCGAGAACCAGGATCCTGGAACTTCAAATGGCCTGCGCGCCTGAACTCAAAGCTCGGAATTCTCCCACGCAGTAATTCGGAGCCCACCGCTGGTCTGCCTCCCGTCCTTTCCCCATTGCACTCTTCGCGCAATCCCCTCTCCCTCGATCCCTCCCTCCCCCTCTCCCCCAGACTTCCGCTCTCGCTCACCTCCACCCTCCAGCAGCAATGGCCCTGCTGGCCGCCCTGAACGAAACCTCACGCGAGGCCGCTGGACCCCAGGGCATTCTCCATGGTGGCTTTCACCTCGGCGAGGCTGTTCCACAGGTGCGTAGCCTGGTCAGGATATATGGGAGGGGGGCTATTTGAATGGGACTAGCACAAGAACGAATTAAGAATGGCAGAACGGAGACAAAACAAACTACCTAGAACATTCGAAGAATCTTGAGAAACAGCCTCATCACGCGTTCATCTGATCTGAACCCTAGCTTCTCCGAGCGAATCCCCTGAACCAGAGCTCTAATCACGCAGGTCGCGCCTGCTGGATCTCCCGATTCACCTGCTCGGCCTTCGCGGTATCCTTCTTGTCACACCTACGGCGCGGCCATCTGTTGCAATCCTCGTCTTCGTTGCCGCCACCGCTGCCACCACCATGCCCTAGCTCATCCATCTCCTCCCCCCTTGTCCTCCTCTTCCTCGCACTCCTCATCCTCCTTGCCCGCGAAAGTTGTTTGGCAGGCCCTCTCTTGTCCTCCTCTTCCTCCAGCGCCTATAACACAGCCCCTGCACTCGCAATGTGTTCAAGTGTCTGGAATCGTGTACCCGTGGCAAACATATTCCATGTTGTCTCGGAGCTAAACCCAACTCAAAAACGACGACGGGGGGGCTGACTTCCCCTGAATAGTCTTCGTGATGTTCTCTTTGATCGCAACGAGGTTCGCTTTAGTCTCCTGGATCTTCGCCTCCCACGGCTTCAACCAGGTGTTCTCCTTGACCTCCCCTCCGCAGGATGCGAACGTGCGACTGCCCTCGCAACGAAACGGGGGCAACTAATGTTAACTGCTGTCGATGCTATCGCCACTATCTTGGCAAATGGATGCAAACACGTGGGTCGATAGCCACCGCTTCCTCTCCCTCATCCTGCTCCCCCTCCCTCCCCTCCCAGCCCCCATTCTCCCCTTTCCCTCCTTCCCCCTCCCATTCTCTTAACCCTCCTCTCGCTCCTCTTGACATGCCCCCCCAGCCCCGACGCAGAGCCCATCGAACAAGGTCCAGATGTGCAACGAATCGGCAAGGGCCTTCGAGAGCACGGGATCGACCCCGCTCGTCGACGCGGAGGCGGTGCCAGCCTGCGTTGACGCAGTTCCAGCGGGGTCCTCCTCCTGTCAACGGAACGCGCCAGATTGTGGTGGCCCCCGCCTCTGAGGACCTCAGCCCCCCCCCCCCCCCCCCCTGTTGGACCCCAGGAACCCACGGCCCGCCAGATCTGTATACACACATACTTACACGTACATACATACACACATGTTTGTATACATGTACACATACACATATAATATACACATGCGCATGTATGTATAACATACATACATGAGGCCTCCGAACTCATCGGAAGGGCTCGGGGGGGCAAGACGCCTGCCAGGAAGGGAGGGGCCCGAACGACTCGTCCTTGGACGAGAGAGCTGGAGAGGGGACCGAACGAGTTCGAGAGGGTGTGCCCCTCGTCCTGAGTCGGCCCCCTCTTCGGTATAGCTCGCCCTCGGGCGCGTCGTTCGGTTGCGGATTTCCGACCCATTCTGAAGGGCTAGGAGCTCGGACGGGCTACCCTCGTCCGTCTTCCCTCTTCATCGAACAATCCAGGATCCTCGCTCGATGGGGAGTAGCTGTACTCGCTGCCCTCGAGGTCCGTCTCCGACATGGGCTCGGCTTTGGCAGCGGCCACCTCCCCGTCCCATCTCCGATTCGGTAGGTCAGGCGACTCAGGAAGAGACGGTATACAGACAGTTCCTCCTCCTCCTCCTCCTCCTCTGATCCTCCTCCGCCTCTTCATCATCCCCCTCCTCCTCCTCCTCCTCCTCCCCCCCCTTCTCCTCCTCCTCCCCTCTCCCTCCTCCTCGGCCTTCCTCCCTCTCCTCCTCCTCTTCATCCACCACCTCCTCCTCCTCCTCCTGCTCCTGATCCTCCTCGCCCGTGCGGGCTCGTATTGTGCGTCTGGCACCAGACATCACACCACCGCCATATCATCAGCATCATCATCATCATCATCATCATCATCATCATCATCATCATCCTCATCATCATCATCATCATCATCAACATCATCATCATCATCATCATCATCATCATCGTCATCATCATCATCATCAGCAGCAGCATCAGCATCAGCATCATCATCAATATCATCATCTTTCTCATCATCACGATCGTCGTCGTCATCATCAGCACCATCATCGTCTTCGTCACCATCATCATGACAAGCAATATAGTCGTCATCATCGTCGCCATCAACCTCACCGCCATCATCATCAACAATCCAAGATCATAGCTCGAGGAGTCCCTGCGAGCCTGCGTCTTGGTACCAGCAGGGATGGCCTTGTCCTTGCTGATGGACGTCTCAATCCTCTTGAGCTTGGCCTGACGGCTAGGGGGCGCTGGACATCCATTGCTGTTGCTGCTCCCCGTTGCTAAATTGTTGCAGTTGCCGTTCACTAGTGCTGCTCGCCGCCACTGATCATCAGCCTCCTACGTCATTTTGCTCCTCCTAGTCGCCGTTGTCGCCGTCGTCGTCGACTTCGTCGCTCTCCTCCTATACCCTGCTGCATGCACGAGCCTGGGTGTCCGCGTTCGTCTCGGTCAGGCGCCGATAGATCTCATCGCCAGTCTGGGGGTCCACCTGGCCCGCCCCGCTCTCCCCGCCACCTCCCGAAACCCTTCCACCTCTGCACCGCAGCCAGGGGCTCCCTTCTGCGGACCGCGTGCACGGGGCACCAGGGAATTCTCTCGGCCAAATGAAAGGATCCATCACGAAGTGAACAAACAATGAATTCCCCAAACCCACCACCCCCACCTTCACGTGAGTCCGTTTCATTTTCTTGCAGTTGTCGCGCACGGCTTCGGCCCGCGCATACGCCCTGGAGACACTTTGATGCATCGCGCCCAACGTTGCAGTTGCTGTTGCCACTTCTCCTCCTCCTCCTCGTCCTCCTCCTCCTCGTCCTCCTCCTCCTCTTCCTCCTCCATCCTCCTCCTCCTCCCTTATCCCAGGCGCATCCTTCCTGTTCCTCCTCATCCTCCTGGTCCTGCTGCTGACATGATGGTGCCCCTACTTGCCCTTCATTGTGTAGTCTATGGCCCACCATGCTGGATCTACCTCCCTTCCTTGCCGCTTCCCTCTCCGTGATCCACCTCCTAGAATCATCATCGCTATCATGCCACCCGATATGTATGGACATCACGTATCCTCCTCCGCCTCCTCCTTCTCCTCCTCCTCCTCATCCGCATCGGCCCCTTCTATCGAAATCCATTCCTTTTCCCGTAGTCGGTGTCCGCGATGCTGGGCTCCCAACCGAAATCCGTCAAGAGCTGATCGAAGTTCCTCCACACGGAAGTCCACTGGTCTCTCGTTTCTTTGTCAGTGCGCTCGATCTTGTTGCACTGCGCGTGGTTGAAGTTCCCTCCCCTCCGTCCGCTCTCCTCTGCACGGGGCCCCCCTCCCCTCCCTCCCCTTCATCCTCCTCCCTCCCCTGCGTCCATCCGTCCCCTCCGTCCCTCCCCGCCGCCCCCTCTTATTTCTCTTCACCTCCGTGCGCTCATCTTCACCTCCCTCCCCTCTGTCCCCTCTTCCCTTCGCATCCCTCCCCTCGCCTCTTCACCTCCACCCCTTCCTTCTGCCATCGCCATTAGCATCGCCAACATCATCGCCACCATCGTCATCACCATCATCAGCATCATAATCATCAACAACATCAACATCAGCATCAGCATCAACATCAACATCAACATCGACATCATCACCATCATCCTCCTAATCCTCTTCCACCTCGATCATCATCATCCTCCCTCCCTCTCCTCCTCCTCCTCCTCCTCCTCCTCCTCCTCCTCCTCATCCTCATCCTCCTCATCCTCCTCCTCCTCCTCCTCCTCCGTTTCCTCCTCCCCTTCCTCCTTTTCCTCCTCCTCCTCCTTTTTCTCCTCCTCTTCCTCCTGCTCCTCCTCCTCCTCCTCCTCCTCCTCCTCCCTCTCCCGTCCTTTCCCTCGCATATCCCTTCCTTCCTTCTCCGCGAGAGCCTGTCTCGCGCCACACCTTGACGAACTCCTTCCTCGCAGGCCCGTAGAGGCCCTTGAACTCTTTGCGCACAGCGGCCTTGCTGGCCTTCATCTGGGTCCTGCGGTCCCGATACCCTCAGGGTCTCCCGTGTTTTCTTCTTCCTCATCCTCCCTCCTCCGCCTCCTTCTCCTCGCCCTCCTCCTCCTCCTCCTCCTCCTCCTTTTCCTCCTCCCCATCCTTTTCCTCCCCCTCCTCCTCCTCCTTCTCCTCCTCGTCCTCATCTTCCTCAAACCCTCACTGTCCACCTCGATCTTCGCCTGTGCTCATTGAAGATGACGGTAGAACACAGAACCGAGAATGCCATCGATTGCTAAAGAGGTGACAATTGAACCGATCCTCAGCCTCTGCATCTCGTTCTCGTGTGCCCTGATGTCAGGGTTGTCGCGGCGCTCTTTCGCCCGTTGCTTCTTCTGGGCGGGGGTCATCTTTGCTTTGCCCTTGGGGGCCATCACCTCCCCTCCCTCTTTTTTGGGGGGGAGATCACGGAGGCGAAAGAACCGTTCGGGATCCAGGATCTCCTGAGAGCGGGGGGAGAGGCCAATATAGGCCGCGGTGGTCGACCCCCCCCTCAGGCGCTGGCCCGGCCAGCCGTCTTCGCGGTCCCGCAATATTCAGAAACTCAGCATCGCTTCCCCATCCTATACACACTATTCCTCATCCCCACGCGCGCGCTCACTCACACGAGCACGCACACACGCGCATGTTTGGACCCGCACTTTTTTTTTCGCGGTCGCGCAATATTCAGACCATTTGGGATCTATCTCCCCGTCGCCTGCAGCGCGGCACTACAGGCCACTTAGAGGGGCAGCGCGCGCGTGCACGCATGCGCTGCGCAGTGCGCGCGCAGACGCGCCCCCGCGGTCGCCCGACGCGCGCGATATCCCCCTCGATCTTCCCGACGTGGCTCAACGTCCCTGCAGGGCCTCCACATGTGTCCCCCGAGGTCCCACGCGTCCTGCGGTGGCTGTACCGAGGTGCCCACGGGGGCCGAGCGCGCGCGCGCGCCCCCCCCTCCGCCGCCCGCAGGGCGCGCGGGAGCCCGCCCAGTAGAAAACATTAAAACACATTTAAAAAAAAACATTAAAAAACATTAAGAACCAAGAAAAACATTAAAAAACAAGAAACACATTAAAAACCATTTAAAAAACATTAGAAAACATTAAGAAACGTTACGGGCAGCGGGAACACATTAAAAAACATTAGAAACCATTGACAACGTTAAAAAACATGAAAAAACAATAAAACATTAAAACACATATAAAAACATTGAAACACAATAGAAAACGTTATCATACAAAACATTAAAAAACAATAGAACACAAGAAAACATTAAAAAAAAACATATAAAACACATGAAAACACATTAGAAAACAAGAAAACATTAAAACACATATAAAAAACATTAAAACACATTAGAACACAAGAACACATTAAAACACATTTTTTTTTTTTTTTTTTTTAAAAAAAAAAAAAAAAAAAAAAAAAAAAAAAAAAAAAAAAAAAAAAAAAAAAAAAAAAAACACACATTAGAAAACAAGAAAACATTAAAACACATTTAAAAACATTAAAACACAATAAAACACAATAAATACATTAAAACACATATAAAAACATTAAAACACAATAAAACACGCTGCAATAGAAAACGTTAAAAACATTAAAACACAAGAAAACATTAAAACACATATAAAAAACGTGAAAACACATTAAACAACAAGAAAACATTAAAAACCATATAAAAAAACATGAAAACACATTAAAACCCAAGAAAACATTAAAACACATATAAAAAACATTAGAAAACATCAGAAAACGTTATACATAAAAAACATGAAACACATTAGAACACAATAAAAAACATGAAAAACATTAAAAAAACATATTAAAAACATTAAAACGCAATGAAAATCATCAACCGCCCGAAGAGTATCGCGCGTCTCCCGTGCGGGGGTCGGGGCCTATTCCAGGGCACACAGGGGCGTTCGGGTGAGCTTCGAGGGCTTTGAGGGGTGCTCGGGTGAGCTTCGAAGGCCTTCAGGGGGGCGCTGGGTGCCGATCGGGGTGGGGGGAAGGGGTGGCGGGGGGGGGGCGCTTGCGGGCCTGGGGCCAAAGTCTGGGGTTTGCGATGGGAGTTCGGGGCGATCCCTCAGGGCCCACAGAGGGGGGGGGGGAGGGGTGCGGGGGCGGGGGGGGGGGGGGGGGGGGGGAGGGGGGGGGGGGGGGGGGGGGGGGGGGGGGGGAGGGAGAGGGGGGAGAGGGGGGGTGGGGGGGGGGGAGGGGGGGGTGGGGGGGGGGGGGGACACGATCTCCGCGGGGCCAGGGTCGAGGGGGGGGGCGCGGGCCGCGCGCAGGGCGTGAGCTCGCAGGGCCCATGGGGATAGGTTTACTAGGCTTTCAGGTGCTTAGGATTTCTGACGCACCCCCCCTTCACCCAGGGGGGCAGGGGGGGGGAGGGGGGTGGGCGTGGGAGGGGGGGTGGGGGGGGGGGGCGGTGAGGGGGGCGAGGTATATATGGGGCGAGGGCAGATCGGCCCCCCTAGGGCCGAAGGGGGATTTCGATGTATATATGGGGCGAGGGCAGATCGGCCCCCCTAGGGCCGAAGGGGGAAGGGGGGGGAAGGGTGCACCCCCCCCATGGGGCAGCTCGGGAATCGGTGGGCGCCCCCCACCCCTAAGCGCGGCAAGTCTAGTCAATCCGCGCGTGTAAACAAAAGCTGCGTATATGTCGTCGGTGATGTCCAGCCATGTCCTGCGAGCCCAGGTGCACCTGCTGCACCTGGGCGGCACCGCTCTGTTCCCGCTGCATCCCCGCTTCCCCCCGCGCGCACATGCATGCACGCATGCACGCATACACGCAACACACACATGCACACACACATTAATATATGTATACGCGCGCGCACGGATTTTGCTGTCATATTCCAGTTTTTGTTTGAGATAACAGTTGCCGCGGGCCATGTAGGCCTTCAGATGGTCAACAAAACGAGTGCCTCTCCATCACATATTCCTCATCCTCATCATATTCCTCGTCCTCCTCATCTCCATCCTCATCATCATCCCCATCAGCCTCACCATGGTCCTCATCTTGCTCCTCCTCCTCCTCCTCATCATCACCATCCTCATCATTAGCATCCTCCTCCTCTTCATCATCCTCACTCCTCCTCCTCCTCCTCCTCCTCCTCCTGCTCCTCCTCCTCCTCCTCCGCCTCCTCATCCTCCTCCTCCTTCCCCTTCCCCTCCTCCTCCTCCTCCATCCTTCCTTCCTCCCTCCCTCCCTCTCGCACTCACTCCCTCGATATCACTCTCGCCCTCCCTCCCTCCCTCTCCCCCTCCGCCCCTTCCTTCCTTCCCTCATCCTCATCCTCCTCCTCCGTCATATATATAAATATAAACGGAAATGTACGTCGACGCATACATACATGCAATTGTAGCCGTACAGTACATGTACACACTCATGTGGTATAACATAGTACGGCATATATGTATACGCCCATGTATGCACACCATGTATGTACATACATGTATGCAGATCGTACTTCGAAGTCGCATACGTATTTGCAACTACTCACGCGGTCATGCACGCATACCAACTGTACGCTAGTGTGCACACACCTATGTATGCACTTATGAATGCGTACGTATTTGTACACACGTACGTGAACGTGAGCATGTAAACGAAGCAGGCGCACATCTACAGGTGCATATATGCAGGTGTATATATTTAGAGTTGTAAACATGCGCGCGCGAATATATTGACCCCTACTGACGCACGCTCGCCTGCTCACACGCGCGCTCACGCACCAACGCCACAACATCACGCATCACCCCCTGACCCCGACATGCGTGTAGTCAAGCCATCTGGTGGAGAGCAGTGTCTTAGGACTACTCGAGCCCTTCCCGTTCTCGCAAACGTATGTATGCCTCCCATCACCTTGCGTCCTCCTCCTCCTCCCTTTACACCTTCCACTCCTCTTCGAGCTCGAGCCCTCCTCATCCCCGCATTGATCTGTCCCCTTGTGCATGCGTCGAGCGTATCTCCCCGTTCGCCTGCAACTCGAGTTGCCAGCTTCTGGAAAGACGCGTGCCGCGGGTGCTTCTCGAGCAGGCTGGATGGCAAAGGAGGGCCCTGAGGCAGGAGCAGAGGAGAGCCCTGAGGCAGGAGGCAGGAGCCCAGAGGAGGGACGAAAGAGAGGAGGGGTCCCATAGGAGGCCCCGCGGCGCGTGTGTTTTCCCGATCGAAGCGCGCGCGTGAATGCGCGCGACACCAGGCCGCACGCACAGGAGACACCCGTTCATTCGGATGCGGATGCGATTTCTGAAACGAACGGCCGCTATCGATCGTCAAACAGCGGTGAATAATGTTACCCCTCCGCCGTTCATCCCTCCCCAGAGGCATTTGCAATTGTGCGCAGGGAGCGAGAGGAGAGAAAGAGAGAGAGAGAGAGAGAGAGAAAGAGAGAGAGAGAGAGAGAGAGAGAGAGAGAGAGAGAGAGAGAGAGAGAGAGAGAAGGAGCGCGAGGAGGAGGTGGAGGAGGGGCCGATGATTCCGCAGTCCCTGCTGCGTATGGCGTCTGGATACCGTGTTCCTCGTCCTGCTCCTCCGCCTCCTCCTCCCCCTCCTCCTGCTCCGCCGCCTCCCCCCTCCTCCAACTCCCATTTGGTCCCGTACCCCATCCGCCTCATCCTCCTCCTCCTCCTGCTTTTCCCCTCCCCCTCGTTAGTGGCGCCCTGAAAGCAGCGCGTATATTCGAGCTCGAGGGTCGCCTGAGAAGAGTTGCCAAATCGTTCGACCTAGCTGCGGTGCTGTGTACATCGCCTCATCCTGGTTCGATGGGTCGTCGGAGCCTGGGCCATGGATTCGTCCCTATCTTGACGCATCAATCGTCGACGCGTCGATCATCGATCGTTGGCTCGTAAACGGACCGACGGAGCAAGAGAAGAGGCAAGAACAGAGCATCCCTGCGGGAGCATCCCCGCATTGGATCATTCCTCTGTTTTTCGAGGCCGCACTGCGCGCCCTCCCTGCAAAGAGCCGTCAAGCCCACGGAGAAAGTCAAAGTCGATATCATCCGTTCACCTGGCGCGGGGGGGTGGGAGCATCACATTGCATAACCAAGTGGGGGAGCGATGAGATGATGAATGGATGTGAGTGTGTGTGGTCGGTTCGTTTGTACTGGCAGGTGGAAGGAAGCTGGACGGGACGCGCACATCGATGCAGAGGGGCGTGGACGTTGGGAGCGAACCAATCCAGGCTCGATTGCCACGGCGCAGCTAAAGCAAGCTCAAACATCTGCCCGACATAATGGTTCTTAACTCATTTTGCAGCGCGTGTCAACCTCGTATCCTCTCATCTCCTCCAGAGCTCCTCGTTCGTGCTCCTCTACCCAACCTCATCCCTACATCGTAATTGCCGTCCCAGCCGACGGCCTACAAGCTGGCCAGCAGCCCGTGCAAGATGTAGACGGACCCGATGACGCCGATAACGTCGATCACGAAATACAAACTATAGCAGCCTCTAAGATATGTATGTTTGCTGCCACGGGGCCCCGACATTGGGAACTGGACGAGGGCAGTGCAGGAATGGATTCCAGGGGTGGAAAAAGGACAGAGAAAGAGCGAGACGGGGAGAGAGGGAGAGTTAGGGAGGGAGGGAGGGACGGGGACTGGGAGGGCAAGGACGGGTAAGGGAGGAGGACGCATGGAAATGAGATCCCCCCCACTGCAGCCTTCCCACGAATGCTGGATCTGCGAAGTCCATCATGTCATCCTGCATCGCGCCACCTCCCGTCCGACACCAAAGCTAAGGCTAAAGGATGTATGGGGAGCACTTAGAATATTTCATAATCTTCAAAACCAGCATTCAGTGATGCAAGCAATGAGCTGTCGAGGTGGCTGGAATAACACGGTGCCCTGCTTCAACGAGGCCCCGTGTAGGCTGCAAGATGAGCATACTCCCGATCCCCATCGTTGATCTCCATAGTTATCTCAATTTACCATGGCCGTCACAATCGTAGTCACCATCGTTGTCGTAATCCTGAGCTGCTCCGTAGTCGTCATTATCTTGACCGTCGCGCTTGCTGTCCTATACTGCCCTGCGCCCCCCCACCTCTAGAATACCTGCTCGCTGATGCCCAGCTCGATGTACGCCTCCTTTTTGATGTGCATGGCCGCGTGCTTGTCAGCGGCGCGGGTCGCGACAATCCGATTGAAGATGTGCTTGATGATCGTCTCGGAGGCCATTGTCGTCGTCACCACGTCGTCCAGTGCTAGCTGCTTGATCTGCCACTCCTGAACCGAACTATCTGGCACTTGAAGCATCTGCTGCCACTTCCACTGCGTGAACTCGTTCTTGTACTTGATCGTGCTGATGGACTCGCTCTTCCTGCGGACGATTCTCACACTCATCGACTGGCCCGACGTGTCCTCGCAGTGCGCGAGCGTGCCGTACTCGTCCGACGGGGGCCACGGGTAGTGGCTCAGCGGGCCGTAGCCAGGGGGCGCTGCACCTGCCGCGTCAGCCTCCTCGGGCGCTTCCTCCTCCTCGGGCCCTTCCTCGTGCTCCTCGGGCGCGTCCTCCTCCTCGCCCTCCTCCTCTGCGCCCTCCTCGTCCTGCGCTTCTTCCTCGTCCTCCTCGTCCTGGTTGCCATCGTGGACGGCGATCGCTGCATCTGGCGGTGCCGCCGCCGCTGCCTCTGCCTGGGCGCCGCTGCCTGCAGCTCCTGCGGCGAGCGGATCCTCCTCCTCACCTCCTGCCTCGTGCTCCTTTGCCTTCTTAGCAACCGCGCCTGCGGGTTTCTTCGCCGTCTGCTTCGCTGGCTTCTTCATGACCGCCTTCGCGGCGGCGGCGGCCTTAGCCTTAGCCGATGGGCCGACTTGCGGCCACCGTTGCAGGATGCCCTCAATTGCAGGTGCCTCGCCTGGTGGTTGCGCCTTGCGCTTGTGCTTCTTTTTCTTGGGCCTGCCGCCCTTGCGTTTCCTTCCCGTGGTGTGCTTGGCGCCTTGGAGGCTATTCATGAAGGGGTAGTCGTCGTCGTCATCGGCACCGTCATCAATGGCTTGGCTACATGTAGCCACGATCGCATCATTAATCTCCATGTCCATGTCCTCCTGTCCAGCCTCCTTGGCCAGCTTGATGTTCAGCACTCCAACGTCGGGATCATTCTCAGCATCCTCAAGATGAGAAGCGTTCTTATGTGGCTCATCGTCACCGTCATCATCATCATCACCACCACAACCACCACCACCATCACCATCACCATCATCATCATCATCATCATCATCATCATCATCATCATCAGCATCGCCAGCATCGTCAGCATCATCATCATCAGCATCATGGTCATCGTCATCGTCATCATCATCACCGTCATCATCATCACCATCATCATCGTAATCATCATCATCATCATCATCATCATCATCAGCATCACCAACAACAGCAACATCATCACCATCATCATCACCATCATCATCATGATCAGCATCATCATCATCATCATCATCATCATCATCATCATCATCATCATCATCATCATCGTCATCATCATCATCAACATCATCATCATCACCATCCTCGTCTCCATCCTCCTCATCCTCCCCCTCCTTCTCCTGCTCCTCCTCCTCCTGCTGCTCCTTCTCCTCCTCCTCCTCCGCATCCTCCCCCTCCCCCTCCCCCTCCCTCTTAAGTCCCTTCCCTCGCCTCGCTTCCTTCCTTCTCGCACCCCGTCCCCTCTCCCCCTCCCTTCATCCTTGCAGGCCATTCCCTCAATGAGGGGGGCGAAGAGGGTTGGGCAATCGATCCCGAAGAGGGTTGGACGCTAGATCCTGACGGACGCCTCAAGTCCTGGAGCCTTAAAACTTCAGAAACAGAGAGGGGGGGATGAAATTGCCCCCTTTGAAAAAAGAAAGGCAGATCGCATTCCTCGGAGATCAGCTTGAAGTAGTTCTGCAGCTCCTGTTCGTCAACGTCTTCGATGTCGAACTCGCCCCGCGGGGTCTGCGGGCCGTCGTGTCTCGCGCCGTCACCCCCGAGTGAGAGGAACATCGATATCAAAGCATCCTGCTCATCCTCAGGCTGCTGCTCCTGCTCCTGCTACGTTGCTCCTGCTGCTGCTCTCGCTACGTTGCTCCTGCTGCTCTGGTCATATTGCTGCGTTGCTCTTGCTGCTCTTCCTGCTGCTTCTCCTGCTCCTGCTATCCGTCCTCGGATCTTCATGCTGATCTGGTCCTCTGGTCGTTGCTGCTTTCTGCTGCTGCTGCTGCTGCTGCTGCTGCTGCTGCGCTGCTGCTGCTGCTGCTGCTGCTCATCTTGCCGATCCTACCAGGGTGTGAAAAAACTCAGTCCTCGGCCTCGTCACCGACGGAGTCGACCTTCGAGGAGCTCCGCGATTGGTCCCGCTGGAAGTGTGACAGCATGATGCGGAGCTGGCGGCACTGCACGAACCTCTAATGGGGGGGGGGGCTGGCGTTGGATCGCATGGCAGGGGACGCCCCAGAAGAGATGGGAGTGGACGGCACGAGTGGAATTGCAGCGGAGGGGATGGCAGGGGAAGGGATGGGATATGATCAGAGGGGATTCGGTGGGGCCAGATTGGGTATTTGATACACACGTATACGGATATGTACGTACTCTCACACATGGCCACATGCATGCACATACTATCAAACACTGTACACATACACACATACAAACATACTTACGCACATGCACATACACACAAATACGCATTCTACACATGCAACGCCCATACACGTGCAAACATGCACACACACACATATGCACATACATATACACACATCGCGAGCACGTCCGTCTCCCCTCTCTCCTCCTCCTCCTCCTCCTCCTCCTCCTCCTCCTCCTCCTCCTCCTCCTCCTCCTCGTACTCCTCGTCCTCCCCATCCTTCCTACTCCGATTCCTCCTCCTCCTCCTCCTCCCTCCTCCGCCTCCTCCTCCTCCCAGCCCCCCCCCCTCCCTCCCTCCCTCCCTCCTCCCGCGACGGCGTCGAACACGCGAGCTCAGGAAAGCATCATCGATCACCATCGACGTCGCTGTCGCTGTCGTCGTCGTCGTCGTCGAAACTCTCGCGGTAATCATCAGCGCCGTATCGTAATCACACTCGCTATTGTCAGCATCAGCTTGGCATTGCCATCATTGTCATCATCATCGTTGTCATCGTTGCCATCAGCATCGTTGCCATCGTTGCCATCATCATCGTTGCCATCGTAGCCATCGTTGCCATCTTGTCATTGCCGTCCTCCCCAATCCAGACCTCTCCCGTCCTCAAAGGAACCTGTTGCCACTGATGATGGCTGGAGTGGGCTTCCTGGCCTTGTCCGTGCGGTAGGACCCGATGAACTTACCCTTGAAAGCCTCGTCCCACCCAGCCTGGCGGGCGAATAGGGGGAAGGATGATGATTGAGGAGCGAGGAGGCTCGATGAGTAGGATTGAGGAGGATGAGAATGAGGATGATGCTTTGGATGATGAGGAGGAGGATGATGAGGATGAGGAGGACGAGGAGGACGAGGAGGGGGACGAGAAGGGGGAGGATGAGGATGAAGAGGCGGAGGAGGATGAGGACGGGGAGGTCACCGTCATCGCCGCCACCATAAGTCGCCGTGACCATCGTCAACGCTATCATTACTCATCACTGCCACCGCCATCATCACTACCATCATCGCCACATCGTTACCATCACTCATCACTAATAGAACCCCTGGCGCCTCCGCCGTCTTCTGGGAGATCCGCAAACCCTCAGTGGCGACCGTGATGTTGGTCAACGTCGGGATGAAATCCTCCCCTACCGTATCCTGCTCAATCAACACGCCTCTGCTTCCCCTCCCCAGTGCCGCCCCCTCCCAACCCTACCTCCTCCCGCCTGCCTCGATCCCCTCTTGACCCCTTCCTCCTTCCATCCTTGCTTCCTTCGCCTTCCCTTCCCTCATCGATAGTTCGCCCTCCAACTTTGGCGCGGCATGATGCCCCTCCCTGGCTCCGCGAGCATCGCCAACTTCGGGCGATCCGAGGAATTCACGCACGGGTAGGTGCTGTAGTCTGGGATCGGGCAACCTCCAGGAGACACGCGCGAGTAGAGAGGAGTAGAGTGGAAGTAGGAGCGGATGGGGAACGACTCCACTCTATTCCACTCGGGCGTCGGATCCAACGATCGCCACAATCGCCGCCATCGCAGATGCGCAACAACGAAATGCGAGATTCAACGACACAAAGAAAGACATAGAGAGAAAGAGAACGGTCAGAGGTGACATTACACATAAGAAGCCAAGCTTCGCAGCAGGTAGAGGGAGGGGCCGATCTGAAGGGGGAGAGAGTCGAGAGAGAGAGAGAGAGAGATAGAGACATACAGACAAACAGACAGACACATGAGAGAGACGGCTGAGGCACATGGATCCATCCACACATAAATGGAAGAGCGAGGGAGGGATAATGAAGGGGGGGACCTTAAGGAGCGCAGGGATGGATGAAGAGCGAGGGAGGGGGGAGGGGAGAGGGCGCTGGGCGAAGGGAGGGGGGGATGAAGGGCGGAAGAGGCCTGGAGGAGGGAGGAGGTGCAAGGACAAATGACACAGATAGGAGCCTTTCATCAGCGGGGTCGTGTCTAATATGGCGTCCACCGTCAAGCATTTCGCGAGCGTGGGTCCATCGATGTCCGCCGTCTTAAGGTGCTTCGGGCTCTTTTTGCTGGTCATCCCGAGCGCCTGGAGGCTGCGCTACGCGCGAGGAGGATGAGGAGGAGGAACAGAAGGAGCAGGACGAGGAGAAGGAGGAGGAGGAGGTGGAGGAGGGAAGGAGAGGAGGATGAGGAGGAGGACAAGGAGGAGGAGGAGGAGGAGGAGGAGGAGGAGGAGGAGGAGGAAGGAGAGGAGCAGGAGGAGGAGACGGGGCCTGGGCTTTCTCGGCTTTCGCACGAGCCATGTGGGACATCCACGCCACCACCAGACCTCCTCCAGCATCGATTTTTTCGATCCTGGATGGCGGGCCAGGCTCGAAAAAATAAATGCTGGAGGATGTCTATACATCCACAGTATGGCCCTGGTCACCGATTCCAACAATGTCGCTCAGCATCGTGGGCTTAGGGATGTCCTCGCGAGAGGAGGAGGAGGAGGAGGAGGAGGAGGAGGAGGAGGAGGAGGAGGAGGAGAAGGCGGAGGAGGGGGAGGAGGAGGAGGAGGAGAAGGAAAAGGACACCCAGAAAGCGGCGTGGGGGAAGAAGGTGAGGAGGGGGCGGGGGATCGTCCTGGGGGTCCAGACAGGGCCCGCGCGCGGTCGAACGCCGCGTCTATCGATCCGCTCTGCTTTCGACACATGCCGCCTCGAGGGCAAGTCGTGCCATATATATATGATGGGCACGACGATCGACGCACAGTCGATCGCCGTGCCCATGCATGTTCATGAATGCTGGCACGACCGCCCTCGATGCGCCATATGGCTTTCGAAGGCGCGGCTCTGCCGCGAACCCCCGTTCCCACCCCGTTTCCCCTTAAGGCGCCTTGCGCCGCGCGGCGCCCCCGATCTCGGCCGCGGCCGCGGCTGCGCAGCTGCGAGAGGGGGGCCGCGGCGCGGCCGCGGGCTGCCCGCGGGCCGCGGGGCGGCCGCGGGTTCGAGCCCCCCGACGAGAAGGCAAGCCCTAAGAGAAGGAGGGGAAGGAGGTCGAGGAAGGTTTTTTTGTTAATTCCCAAGAACGTCGGACGATATCCACGCTTGTACAATATAACGTAACTATAGCGCAACCTATAGATTTACCTACTTCACATCGGTAAATCACAACCGAAACGTCCGAATTAAGAAATTGAGACGAATCCCAAAAATCAAGTCATGCAGCCGTCTCAATTAAATTGAGACCGTAAGATGACAGGGATGGTCTGCCGTGCTCTTGTGTGGTTTGCCGTGCTCCTGTGTGGTCTGCCGTGCTCCCGTGGGGTCTGCCGTGTCCTGTGTGGTCTGCCGTGCTCCTGTGTGGTCTGCCGTGCTCCTGTGTGGTCTGCCGTGCTCCTTCT